CCTGGCTCCTTAGCAATCCCCTGTTCAACTTCATTCAGTCTCTCAGATGTTCACTCTGTCTGTGTCCTTCCACCTCAGCCTCTAGGCACATCCAAGTTACTCTGAAGGGACCAGCTAGGGTGGTGGGCCATCTACTGGGCCTCAGGGCCCAAGGGAGGGACCAGCTATCCCCTAGCTCCAGGGAGACTCACCTGCCGGTCACCTGCCAGTCCAGGGGCTGGCTCAGAGCTTGGGGCCAGAGGTGGATTCACACACCCCCACCCCCAACCCCGGTGCCCCTTTATTTCTTCCGGGCCTGGGAGGCTAATTAGATAGGGCTGGAATGGAACTGGAGGGGGACCGGCTGTCTCTGTTCTCAGTGCCACCGCCGTCACTCGCCCACCAGGCCTGGCCAGCTCTGAGTCACGTCTATTGTAGTCGGTCCTGCGGCCCTTACTCCCCACCAGGCTTAAGCTGCCCTGTTGGGCCTTTGTCTGCGCCGGTGGGGGCGCCCTGGAGCTACGGGAACCAGGGAGGGAAGGGTGAGGGACACCGGGGCCCCTTGCTAGGAGAGTGCTTCCTGGGCCCTGGTGGGCAGGGAGAGGAGAAAGATGTAGAGGCTTGGAGAGAGATCTGGAGGGACCGGGGCGCGGTGCTGGGAGTGCAGCGGGCGGGGAGGCCGGGACGCCACCGAGGGGAAGCGGGTGGGCTAGGGAGCGTCACCGTCGCCAGCGGGGGGCGACAGCCGGGAGCTAGCGGGAACTCGCGGGCCCGGGGCGGTCGGGGGCGGTGTGGGAACCGCGGGAGGCTCCGCAGCTCAGCGCCAGGGGCGGGTCTCTCGCCGCCGGGCCGGGGCGCACCGAGCCCGGTAGGGGAGGGGTTCAGGGCGCAGATTGGCCGCATTCTTTGCCTTCTTTTCCCCCTCCGGCTCATTCCGGTCGATCGATACCTGCGCGGGACCGGCCCCCGCCGCTAATATCTTTTTAATGAGTTCGCGGGGCTTAAAGCCAGCGCGATCTGCCCTCCAGGGTGGATTTTCCCCCGGCAGATGTTCCGAGAGGAGGCGGTTAGCGGAGGCCCCGCGAGGGAGGGGGAACAAATCTCTCCCTCCGAGGGGCGAGGGCAGGAAGACTTTCTTCTAAAGTTCAAAAGAAAGACAGGCTTTCACTCGGGAGCCCCCAAAAATGAATTTCTCCGCAGACAATGGGCTTCTTTTCTTCGAGGGCCGCTGGGATGGGCGGGGCGGGAACTCATCGTTTTGGCCAAGCCTGACCGATTCCCACCTTGGGTCGAGGCTGACCCGCGCGGGCGCAGGAGCTGGAACCCGCCCTACGCTCCAGTTGTCCCTTTGCAACGCGCTGTCGCTACCTGGGCATCCCGGAGCGGAGCCCAGTACACCGTCTGGAACAAAAGTGCCCTGCAGGCTGGACCAGAACGGTGGTTGTGGATGCTGAGCCCGCGGAGATGGGAGCTGGCGCCAGGAGGGACGGCGGGACTCACCTCCGCGCTCACGCCACCGCCCTGGTACCCCAGCGCGGCGCCCTGAGAACCGCCAGAACTTGAAAGTTGCCGGGCCAGGGCGGCCGTGGGGTTCCGAGCCCCTCTTCGTGTCCCCCGACCTGGCCACCCTTCTTGATTGCAGCCATCCACCACCCACCCGATCGCGTCCTGTCCTCCCACGCCACAGGGTCCCTCAGTTCGTGGGGCTGTCGGTCTGCAGTTGCCTCCCCTGTCTCCACTCCCGTGGGCTCGGGGGGGAAGGGGCACCCGGGCAGCTAGGGTGACCTCCAGAGCCGCAGCCGATTGATTCGTTCCGCCCAGAGCCGAGGCCGCGTGAATGGGGCCCGGGCGGCTGCGGCGGCGGCGGCGGCGGCGGCGGGGATAAAGATGTTGTCCCTGAAAGGGGGAGGGGGTGCGGAGCGGGAAGCGGGGCCATTCACTCCTGGCCCGGCCCCTCGGGAAGCCGCTCGAAGAAAGGGGGCCGGGGCCTATTCAAGCCCTACGAGCCGCCCACAATGGACCGATATACTGGGGCCTCTCTATTAACGCCCATGAATATTAAAGAGATCGCGGAGCGGCGGCCTGCTGGAAGAGGGGGGCATGGGGGGCTGCGCCTGCGAGCTCTGGTCATGCCGGGCCCTAGGGAAGCATCTTCTCGAAGGCACACTAGGTGCCTGGGTCCGGATGACTCTGTTCAACCACCAGGAACCCTTGGAACCCGCAGCGTTTCCCCTCTAAATCTCTATGCAGGCAGATCAGCGCTCAGGGGTCTTGTCCTCAGGTCCCAGCACTGGACCTCTGTTTCCGGAGGCGTTGGTCTATGTGGGACTACCACTAAGTCAGTAGCTCAAAATGGGAGAGCGCAGCGGCTATACCCCAGGTCTTGGGCGCCTTAGCTGGGAGGTGGTTCTGGCTAGTGCGCCCCACCGCCACCAGCATACTCTCCCAGGAGGCGCCCCGGTCGGAACCCCAGCCGTCATCCTTGCATCTTTTGACCGCGATTGGAGTCTGGGACAGGACGCAAATGCTTCCCCTCAGGAATAAAGGACGCTGGGACTTGGATGCTTTTCACAGTGGGATGTGGTGTGGGGAATTGGCAAAATCCCGGGGAACTCCGGGGGGAAAAGCGGCCGACCCAAAGAGAAGGTGGGAGGAAACCTCAGTTTGCAATCCAACCCAAACCATTGCCAACCGGAACCCCGGGAACCAGAGAAGAGAGGGCTACCCCCAGGACCAACAGCTGTCAGCAGTCCCCTTTAGTCCACCTCAGGCGCTGAATTAGGCTTCGGGGTTGGGAGCTGGCATTCTCCCCAACATCCGCTCCTCATCTGGCTCATTCTCCACTGTCTTCACAGAAGCCAAGGTCCAGGCGCCGGTCAGGTTCCCTTGACACGCTCCATTGGATTCTATTCTCCTCCTCAGACTGGAACCCTCTGGCCAGCCAGTTAGCCGGTGTGACTCGTGCATCTGCCAGGGAATGCAGGTTCTGGAACCCTAACCCTAGCTCCTCTGCAGCGCTGCCCTCTGCTGGCGCCCTGCCCGATGGTCCCGCTTTCTGGACCCTCTGCTACGGGAGGTTTGCTTGTGAAGATTTTCTACCACCACCTTCCTCTTCCACCTGGGTTGAGGATGCCAGAGGCCACTGAACCAAACTGGGGGCCATAGAGACTGGGATCCGTGGTTGTCAGAGTGAGGCGCGCTTAGCACTGGCCAGCCCTCTTTTCCAAGAAGCATTAGAATAGTTTGTGGGAGGCCAGGTGGTTGATGTTCCACCTGAGTCCCAGGATTTTGAAGAAAGCCTGGAGAGTCTTCACTATTCAGTGAGCACCTAACCCAAGAACCCATATCAGGGTACAGAACAATTTCCACCAGGCTGTGAAACTGCAGCCACATGGGGTAGGCAAGGGTGGGTGAGGACTTAGGCAGTTGGGAGAGATGTCTCCAGTGTGCCCCCCCAATGTAGTATGTCTGGAGCTGGAGGGAGTGGGGAGCTTGAGGCTAAGTCCAGGAGGCAGCAATGCATGCAGATAACAGTGGTCTTTCGAACTGAGCAAGTTTCTGGAGAGCTAGGGAGATGGCTCTGAGGTGCTTTGGAGAGCCGAATAGTCTGCTGGTGGTGCGAAGTGGGAAGAGGGGACAGGAGGAAGGGAAAAAAAGAAGAGGGCAAAAAAGAAAGAATGTTAGGGGCCCACAAGGAAGCAGGGATGCAGTTGCCAGAAGCCAGATTGGAAAACAGCCTATCAGTGGGACCTGCAGTTTCAGAGCAGCTGGCTTTGGGTTCCCACCTTAGACCCGCACAGAGTATCCTACAGACTCCAGTATCTGGTGACCAGCTTGGATCTCCAGTCAACCCTTCCCGCTGCTTCCCACACCTAGCACTCCTAAGGCTGGGAGCCTCGAGGCCCACCAAGCCATCTTAAGCGGGATCCAGCCCCGACGGTGCCAGTGGTCCCGCCACGGCAGCCGTCTGTGCTGGAGATACTTCGCAACCGCTGCTAGTGGCGCCGTGAGCACTGCTGTTGGAGAGGCCCGTTTGAAGCGAAGCGCCGGCTTGAGCCGCGTGGTCTGCGCAGATCTGAGCAGCCTGAGCAGGAGCTGTAGGCTCAGGGTTGCTATCATAGCTTGGGGCTTGGAGCCTGGGAGAGTGCAGGGCTGGGGAGAAGACAGAGTGCCAGGGCGCCTAGGAAGAGGAGCGCAGTGCTTGCTGCCCTGGGACAGGCCCGCAGCATAGGGTAGGGATGTTGATTGCAGACCTTGCTAGGGACAGGTGGGCGCTGGGGCCTGTGGGGCGCGAAGCCTTGCGTCCCCTCTTGCTCAGTCTAGTCCCCGGAGTTCCAGCGAGCCTTGCTGCATCCCCTCCCCTGCTCCAACCCCTCCTCTCCTGGAGGAGGGCTGAGCCTCCCTCCCTGTCAGTCTTCCCAAGGGGAGAGGAGGAGGAGGAGGAGGAGGAGGAGGAGGAGGAGGAAGGATTGGAGAGGAGGGAGGAGCAGGAGGGTGACTGTTCTGAGCTGTCCTCGCGCCTCCCCCCACCCCTTGCATTAGCTCCTTAGAGCCTGGCCGGGTACAAGTCTGTCCTCCGACGTCAGGGGGTCATTAATAACCAATTAGGAGGGTCACTGCGGCTTCTATAAAGGCGCAGAGATTTTGCCAAGAGGAGGACTGTCCTGCCTGGGTGTGCAAGAAGCGACTGCGTGTCTGAGAGCCCCTGGCTGGTGTTTCTCCGCAGCCATCCATCTCCCACCCATCCCGGACCTCCCGCACCGCCTCTGCCTCCACTCGCCGCTCTCCAGTCCTCTGAACCCCTCTGCCACCTCTTCCTTCTTTTCCTATCCCCCCCCACTCACTTCCCTCCCAGTCGTCTCAATACCCGCTCCCTCTTGCGTCCTCCCTCTGCTCCTCTTCCTCCTCCTCCCACCTGACGTGTCGCAGTCCTTCTCTCGCTCCTCTACTCCCTCTTGCTGCCCACCGCTGCCCACCTCCCCGCCGTCCTTCGCTCGGCGCCGGCCAGCCCCCGGCTGCTCATGATGGGCTCTGTGCTCCCGGCTGAGGCCCTGGTGCTTAAAACAGGGCTGAAGACGCCGGGGCTGGCGCTAGCCGAGGTCATCACCTCCGACATCCTGCACAGCTTCCTATACGGCCGATGGCGCAACGTCCTGGGGGAACAGCTTCTAGAGGACAAGAGCCACCACGCCAGCCCCAAGACTGCCTTCACCGCAGAGGTCCTGGCGCAGTCCTTCTCTGGAGGTGAGTTCAGCCGTCGGGGCTTCTTTCTCTCCCTCCTGCTGGCTACCCCCAATTCCCAGGCTTGCAGCGCCTTGGTGCGCAGCGATGGGGATGCTGGGCCTGGGGCTGCTCCCTTGGAGCCTGGATATTCTCAATACTCAGTACCTCCTCAGTTTATGTTAAAGCCCGGCTGGAGCAACCGCGCCACGACCGAGAGGAGGCAGCTCGGAACGCAGCGCTCTAGGACCAAATCCCAGTGACCTGGGCGACCCTTCCCGGCTGGCCGGCTCTACTGTGTCCGCTCTCCCCACCTCACCCTCCTCCCGGAGCTGACGGTTTCCCGGCATTTAACGCCTTACTAGGCGTGTAATAGCAGTTGACTCAGAAAGAAGGGGTTTAAAATTCATTTGGTTAACTTAGGCTTGACCCGAGAAAGTTCCCACTTAAACCAAGAACTTTAAAAGGCAGCCGGGCCGGCGAGGGGGCGGAGGGCGGGCAGGCCGGAGAGAAAAAGCCGCAGAGAGCGAGGGAGAGAAAGAGAGAGCGAGAGAAGTTTCTTTTCTTTAATATGTCTCAAGTTCTTATCCCTCATTCATCACCCTGCAAACAATATCTTTCCCGGGCGCTGGCAACTCTGCGCCTCGCCCTCTTCCCCTTTAAGATCGCTGTTCCTCTCTTAATTTGCCGTGAAGACTAATTCCACTTCCATTCACGCTATGTCAACCATCTAATCCCCGCTTTTTGTAAGGGGAATTCCTCGGCCCCTTTTAAACAAGTCCCCTCCGCATTGAGCTACAATTTACTGCTACAGCTTTTTTCCTGGGCTAATGAATTTAGAATTAGCAATTTCTTTCGAATGGAGCCGAATGAATGCGATCACTTTAACAGCGTGACAAATTGCCGGCCGCGCCGCAATGGACACCGTTTAACCCCCCCCCCCCCCGCGACTTTCAGCCGGCCAACTCGCCGGGTATTTTCCCAGGTAGCTTTGAGGGGAACCTTGTTAGACCAGGAGGAGCCCCAGTGCGTCTTCGCCGCTCCCACCCCTGCCGCCGATGCCCCACCGGGGACCCTCTGGGGCCGCTGGTTCTTCTCGGTCCATGGAGACGTCTTCACAGCTCGCCTGCTCCGGGTTCTACCCTTCCTGGCACCCTAGGGCCTCCAGGAGCACTGAGGGACCCGGGCGTGCCAGGGATCACACCGAGAGCGTTCAGTCTTCCGACGCCGGTGTTTCTTCTCTCCGAGCTAGGGATCTGTCCCCAGTGCTGATCGCGACCCAACCCGGCTTCTCTGTGCGTGCCGAGCCGGGACGCGCAGAGAACGCTGAGTGACCAGCCGAAGCGCACGGAACGAGGTGGAATAAAAGAGTCCCGGGTCGGACGTTCCCTCCCCGTGAGACCCGGCCTCAGTTTCCTTGTCTGTAAACAGGCGCTGCGGTCTCTCTGGCTCCTAAGCTTTTCTGGGATGGAGGGCGCTGAAAGTTGTAAATGTTTGGAGAATTCGTGGCGACCCCAAATCGCTTTTAGAAATGAGCCCAAGGGTTGAGGATGTCACTCCGCGGTAGAGCGCTCCATGCGTAAGACTTTGGGTTCGATCCCCAATAACTCCCCTCGAAAAGCAAAAAGAAATGAACCGTGATGTACCGCTTACTTTTGAGGCCGGAGAGGATTCAGGGTTGCAAACAGAGAAGGCGGTTATTGAGCCTGGGCTCCTGTCTATAACCCGCGCCGCGGGAGAGAGCCGCTGGAGAGACTCGCTGAGCGGCTTGCGCTGGCAGGCTCTGGGCAGGGCAAGGGTGCGGCCTGGATGGGAAGGGCAGGGCCTCCTCTGCTCAGGTGTGACGGTTCCTCCGACCCCACAGAGGTGCAGAAGCTGTCCAGCCTGGTGCTGCCTGTGGAGGTGATTATTGCCCAGAGTTCAATCCCCGGCGAGGGCCTGGGCATCTTCTCCAAGACGTGGATCAAAGCAGGCACGGAAATGGGCCCCTTCACTGGTCGCATCATTGCTCCGGAGCACGTGGATATTTGCAAAAACAACAACCTGATGTGGGAGGTAGGTGGGGCTGGTGGAGCCAGCGGCAAGCCTGTTCCTCCTTGCTTTGCCTCTAGAAAACAGGGCTCCACTTCACAGATGGAGGGTGCGGAATGTGAAAGGGTCCTGGTACACAGGCTGGGAAGCCACCCTTGGGGGTGTCCTCTAAATACCCATATTCTTTCCCTGGTCAAAGCAGCCAGTTAGGCAGGCCTCTAAAGCTGGTCCGGGGTGAGGTGTGGCCAGAACAGAGGGCAACAGAAGTTGGTGTTTCTTGGGAATTGGCTTCCCAGCCCCAGGCCAAATGACAAACCAGAATTATTGCTCATTTGGTGTTGAGTCAGCGGTCTGAGTCCCTAGCCTGCAAGCTGTGAGTTCCCTCAGCAGTCCTGTCTGTGATTATTCCTATTTTGCAGAGGAAACTTGGCTCTGAAAGGCCCTCTGTCTCCACCTCATAGTGCCAGATACTAGGGAGGAGCCCCCCCACCTCGGGTCCAGTCCAACAATCCTCCTCCAGGGTCCTTCCCCTGAAGACTCAGACATCCACAGCAGTCAGCTGGGAAGGACAGGCCCTCATCTCCTTCTTTCCCCTACTGCTACCCAGGCAGGCCCAGTGGCCTGCAGTGGAGGAGCCCAATGTGATACCATGTAGCTGTTCACAGGAGGAGAGAGCAGAGAGATGACCCCAGGATCTCTCTTTACCTCACCTTCTCCCTCCTCTGGAAACCTGGGCCTGCAGCTGTCTTCTAGTTGTTACCCAGACAGGAAGCTAGGGTGTGGTTTGACTTAAGCAGTTCCACAAAGGAGCTTAGGTCAGGCCAAGGGACCCCAGTGAGCTAGCCTTGCCTCCTAGGTTCTTTTATCCCTCTTGGAGATCCTGCCTTGGAAAGCCCTGTGATCAGGATTCCCCAGATCACATCCCCCAGTACAGCTAGCAGGAGGCCATGTTTCCTGGTTAGTGATCCCTTAAAGACCTTCATCTTTTGGGGATGGCAGGGTCTAGCATCAGGAGCATCTTGCAATGAACCCATGGGGATCCTAGAGACTGGCTCCCTATTGGCCACTTCCAGCTGGCTAGCCTCAGGCAAGTCACTATGCCCCCTAACTTCCCTTTCCTAGGCTGGAAAGTGAAAGGGATATAATAGATTTATCTACTTCCTGGAGCTGTTGGGAGAGTGTAGATTTGTGTGTGGATTTGTCTGGCAGGATTACAGGATTACACATGTGCCATGGCCCTCCCTCACCTGGTCTCTGCTCCACCTGTGCCTAGGTGTTCAATGAGGATGGCACAGTACGTTACTTCATTGATGCCAGTCAGGAGGACCACCGGAGCTGGATGACCTACATCAAGTGTGCACGGAATGAGCAGGAGCAGAACCTGGAGGTGGTTCAGATTGGCACCAGCATCTTCTACAAGGCCATCGAGGTGTGTGCATGTACCGTAGTGTAGGGACAGAGGCAGACATCCCATGGTGGGGAGTGTGCAGAACAGCTGTGTCCTACAACCACGGATGATAGAGGTCATCGATGCTGGTCTGTCCAATTGACTCTCCCTGGCTGTCAGGCTAAGGTCCATGTGACAGGATCACCAGGAGCATCCCCTGTATGGAAAGCTTTCTGCTGTAGCTTGGAAAGGATGGAACTTGGATATTATGTAAGTCTCAGTAGTGAGGTTTGGGGAACTGGTGGAGATTACGTGGGGGTCCTGAAGGCAGAGTAATACAAGGAGCAGGATGCCAAGTGGGCAGGCTGAGGAATGCTTTTGGGTGTGAGAAGGGACATATGTCCACAGTGGTCACATGTTTAGCTCTGTCATCTGCATGCGTGGGGTCCAATGGCGTGTGGCTCATGATCAAAATCTTGGCAATAACTCCCTGTGTGCCAGGCCTTGCTTGCATGCTGGATATATGTTATTGTGTTTAGTTCTCACACAACCTCTTAAGAAGGATCTTGAGATTATCCACGGTTCATGGATGGGGAAACCAGGCCTAGCTTGGTGGCTGGCAGTTCTGCAGCTCATGTGGTAGCAGAGGCATTAGCACCAACGACTGTGCTGTGTCTCAGAAGAGGAAAGGCAAGGGGCAGAAGGGTAGCTACTGCCTCTCAGGGTGTTGGGGCCGGGATGAGAATGGAGCCAGGGCCAAGGCCTAGGAAGGGAAACCAGGCAGTCCTGTCGGTAGGGGATGCTTGGCAGAGGCAGGAAAGCTACAGGTGTCAGGGAAGGTGGTGAGAGAGAGACTGATGTTGCTCAGGTACGTGAGGAGGTGCTGAGTTCAGACCAAGCTGCACAGTGGTAGCCGAGGGGCCACACCTGCAGGGTTCTCTGAACAATGTCCCTTAGCATTTGGCTCTGTCTGGTCTAGGAATGTAGGAAACTGTTCAAACACTGTGAGGGGAGCAGGATTGACCCAACACATTTTTCTAGACCATGCACTTTTGCCCCTTTACCAGGGAATTGCAAGCCAGGTATGAGGGTACTTGGGCTTGGTTGTTTTTTAAGCAGTGGTCTGGTAGCTCTTTGAGGCCAGAAAACAGCTTCCTTTGCATCTGCACTCTACTTACTAGCAGCGACTCTGAGCCTGAAGCTTAAGGCTCTTTGGATGATCAGGCCTGATGGCTTCTGGGACTGGGGTTCCACTGGCCCAGGCTCTAGGGACTTTCCCAGGGATGACATCAGGATGACCTTTGCTTGGGCCTTGTGTGACCAAGCCTTGGGTCCCACCAGAGGATCAGCCCCAGGAACACCATGAGGTAGAGAGTAAGGAAAGGTAGCCAGGCCTTCCACTTGTGTTCAGGAGTGCCGGGGCGTTAAGAGGCATCAAGGAAGCACTAACAGTGGCTTGACCTGGGTGGCTCCTATGAGCATCTGGAAAGGTTGCCACCTCCTAGAACTGGCTTTGGTGCAGGTGAACCCCATCTTTAGCTGCATATATTCCCAAGGGTTCTCATTCCCCTTTGACACACACACACACACACACACACACACACACACACACACACACGGGCACATCCACACACTTCTGGACTGTGGCAATGGAAGACAAGCATTTATCATCTTTCTTGTGCATGCACGCACACACACACACACACACACTCCCAAACCTGCACATTAACATACATACACAAAGTTGCTCATGTACACACACACATATATACCACATGTGTGCAAACACACATACGTGCACAGAGAGAGAGAGACAGACAGACAGACAGATATAGAAGACTGGTTAGGAATGCTTATGTCATTTTGGCAAGAGGGCTCCCAGCTGGGGTAGATAGGTGACCTGAGTTCATCCTGTAAGGTACATCAAACTGGCGGAAATCAAAACAGAATCAGGATGCATGAATAGACATTTATCCAGAAGTTTGAATTCAGAAGGCAGGGTGGTTGAGGAAGATTTCCAGGGAGGGACTGGAATTTGTATGATCAGGAGGAAAATTCATCCATGTTTATCAGAAATTTAAGTATATAGCAGACACGTATACACATTTACATAGTATATATAATACTATGCATGTAATGCACAGTCCACCAACCTAAGAAGGGACTGTTTTAAGTGATGGGTAAGGACACAAAAAATGCTCTCAAATTACTTTTCATAAGTGAACTTGAGCGTATTTTTTTCATGGTAGCAATTTTCTCAACCCACTTCCTCACCATGTCCAAATCCCACTGATGTGTTTGGGTGTGTGTACCACAGTTGGGGCAGGGCAGGGGCTCAGGGGTCACACAGCCTTTCTTGGCCAGACCAGAGATGTCGGGCTGCTCCCCAAACATCTTGAACAATCATCTGTTTGTTCCGTGTTAATGGTGGGGTGGGGGTAAAGAAAGAGACCTTTGCCACAATGTTTTTTTAATCTTTCTACCACTCACAAGTGCTATTTATATTTCATAAGAGTAACCCATTACTAGGGAAGACTTCTCTCTTCAGTAAGCAGAATATACTATTACACAGAAGATTCCACAAATACAGAATCACAGATCTCCAAATGGGGCAGAGGTGACCTGGATTGGGAACCAGGCAGACCCTGGAAAATGCACAAGTTCTGCATCCCGAAGCAACCTCCTGGCTTTGCTTCTGCTGGACACTAAGTCCTGCGTTGGTGCCTCAGGTGGCATTTCTAGAAAGTACCCAGTTCTTAGCAAGGGGGCACTGAATACTGAACAAATAAGTCTTTCTTTGGGAGATGGAGTGCCCACAGGGACCTACCTCTTTCAGGAAAACAAACCTGACTGACCCAGAGTCTGCCTGACTCTAGAAACCATCACAAGGTAAAGACGGAGGAATCTGTTAAATCTGTTCGGGGTTTACAATTGGAAGCGAATCCCTGCTCTTTCCTGCTCTTTCCTGTCTCTGCTCCATTGTATTGTATTGGCAGATGGTTGTGCGCTGAGATGGAGGCTTTTTCTTTCTGCCACTCGCCTTCTGGGTTCAGGCAGCTGAGCCTTTTATTTCTTCCTAGAGCCTCACCTCTCTTTTCTTGACTCTGAGGTCTAGCACTGTTTTCCTTTTGACCTTGCTTCGAAGTGGCTCTGATGATTACCATGATGAATAATCAGCACCGTTAATAATGCTACCCAGAGCCTTTCTCATGTGCCACGGTGCTGACATCCTTTTCAAAAGGTCATAGCAACATTTTGCTGTTGTACTGGGCTTAGCGCATGCTAAGTACATGATCTACCACTGATTTACACCTCCAGCCTTGCAGCTCTGTGTGTGTGTGTGTGTGTGTGTGTGTGTGTGTGTGTGTGGTGTCTGGTGTGGTCTGTGTACATGTTTATGTGGTTATGTATACCTGTGAAGGCCAAAGGTAGACAGTCAAGTGTCTTCCTCTATCACTCTCCACCTTTATTTATTTATTTATTTATTTATTTATTTATTTATTTATGTCTTTTTGAGACAGGGTCTCCCTGTAGCCCCAGCTGACCTGGAACTCACTATGTAGGTAGACCAGGCTGGCCTTGAACTCACAGAGATCCGCTTGCCCCTGCCTCCCCAGTGCTGAGATTAAAGGGGTGTGCCGTCATGCCCGTATGTATGTAAGTGTATCAGATTCCCTGGAACTGGAGTTACAGACGGTTGGTAGTCACCATATGGGTGCTGGGAACCAAACCCGGGTCCTCTACAAGAGCAGCCAGTGCTCTTAACTGCTGAGCCATCTCTCCAGACCCTCTCCATCTTATTTTTCGAGACAGGGTCTCTTGCTGAACTTGAAGTTCATCACCTATTTGGCTAGGCTGGCCATCCAATGAGCTCCAGGGATCTGCCTGTTTCCATCCTCCCTCCACGCTGCTCCACCCTGAAAGGACCAGAGTGATAGACATGTACCAGAGTGCCAGAAACCCAAATTCAGATCCTCAGGCTTAAATGACAGGCACTTCTACATATGAGCTGTCTCCCCAGATCCTATATAACATTAAACATTTTTAATTATATTTAAAATTTTTATTTTGTGTTGTGGAGACATGAGTATGCCATGGTCTGCATGTGGAGGTCAGAAGTCTTCCACTACCATATGGACCCCGGGGATCAAACTCAGGTCATCAGGCTTGGTGGCAGGCACCTTTGCCTGCTAAGCCATCTTGCCTGCTCCTGTGCAGCTTTAAAAACAGAATCTGCTCAGCCTGCAGGATGCTCTCTGTTTTATCCCCATTGCATCTCATTCCATTCATTTTCATGGTGATGGGGGATTGAACCCAAGGCCTTGAACATACTGAGTAAATGCTTTACTGCTGAACTATTTTAATAATGAAGAAATGGAGGTTGAAGGTTCGGGGATTCAGGAAGATTGCTGAACTGTGATTTGAACCCAGGCCTGTCTGTTACAGAGCTGGAGTACTGATCACCATGCCATGTGGCCTCCTGGCCAGTATCTATTTGCTGGAACTCTATTAATTGGAGTGTCAGGACATCTGTGCACAATGGAAATTGATGATCGTCCAGATGACAGAGATGCTTGTGTGCCACTCGGGGGAAGGGGCAGGTGTCAGGGCCTCCCGGGATCATGTTCAATGGGGCGTCATGAATTTGTATTAGGAAAGCAAACCCCAAAGCCCAGCATTGCTCTTGTATTATTGAACGGAGCCAGACAGAACTTAAGGCTAATCGGGAAATTTAAGAACAAACTGAAAGGCCATGAGACTTGTCAACAGGAGGCAGGCGTTGCTGTTTCCCCCAGGTTGGACAGTGTGAATTTTACAGCAAGGAGATTGGTTCCTTTGGGGATTGCTTTAATGGTGGTATGTCTTGAGAAAGTCTCTCTTCCCTAGAAACATGAATGACCAGCTGACTCGGGCCCTCCCAGTTCCTGTGCAGTGTCTGGTCTGGGCCAGTTGGGGTCTGAAGGAACAGTGCCTGAGAGGGGCCTGCAGGGGACAGTGACTGGTCCCAGCACTGAGGTGGTCAGGAGGTGCAATCCCAGGAGTCTCTGGAGAAGAAGCTGCAGGCTCTGGAGTCTCCTGGGCTCCATCACGGGTGTTTGTTGGATGTAGAGCATGTAGAAGAAGGCAAGGGTCCAGGCTCTAAAGTACAGAGTGACTCTGTGAAAGTGATGTGGTCTCCCCCACAGCTCATAGCATCCAGCTGTCTTGGGACTGTGCAGTGTCTGGTCTGGGCCAGTTGGGGTCTGAAGGAACAGTGCCTGAGAGGGGCCTGCAGGGGACAGTGACTGGTCCCAGCACTGAGGTGGTCAGGAGGTGCAATCCCAGGAGTCTCTGGGGAAGAAGCTGCAGGCTCTGGAGTCTCCTGGGCTCCATCACGGGTATTTGTTGGATGTAGAGCACGTAGAAGAAGGCGAGGGTCCAGGCTCTAAAGTACAGAGTGACTCTGTGAAAGTGATGTGGTCTCCCCCACAGCTCATAGCATCCAGCTGTCTTGGGAACACGTTTCATTCTCAATTCCAGTACATTCTGCTCAGTAGGTTTCCTTTCCTAAAAAGTGTTGCTGTTTTGTGTATATGTGTATCAAAGTAAAATATGCTCATTTTTAAAAACTAGTAAAAGCTGTGTGTGGTGGCACACGCCTTTAATCCCAACTCTTGGGAGGCAGAGGCAGGTGGATCTCTGTGAATTCAAGGCCAGCCTGGTCTACATAGTGAGTTCCAGGACAGCTGGGGTTACAGGGAGACCCTGTCTCAAAAGGACCAAAGTAAATACATAAATAAAAAGTTAGTAAAAATGGAGTCATGCTGTACCTTCATGCTGCTCTTATAAAGTTAAATCATCATTTTTTTCATAGTCTCAGAATGACAGGGGCTGGAGAGATGGCTCAGAGGTAAAGAGCACTGACTGCTCTTATAGAGGACCCAGGTTCGATTCCCAGCGCCCAGGCTGGATTCTCAACACCTACATGACGGCTAACCTCCAGTTCCAGGGCATCAGATGCATCTTCTGATCTCTGCGGGCACTGCATGACAGGGGTGCACTTACAGGCATGCAGGCGATACACTCATATACTTGAAATTAAAATAGTAAAAATAAAATATTAAAAAATGACAAATCTGGGGTTGGGGATTTAGCTCAGTGGTAGAGTGCTTGCCTAGCAAGAAAGGCCCTGGGTTCGGTCCTCGGCTCCGAAAAAAAAAAAAAAAAAAAAAGACAAATCTTCCAGGGAAAGACATGCAGAGAAGCAGTGGTAAAAACTAGACACCCAGAGCAGGAGAGAGTGAGTGCTCACGATTCACCTGCAGCGTGGCTATGCTTTATGTCTCCGTGCTTTAACTTTTAAGCTGAATGCAATTAATTTTAGTCTTTAAAAGCACATTAACAGGGGCTGGAGAGATGGCTCAGCAGTTAAGAACACTGACTGTTCTTGCAGAAGACCCAGGTTTGAATCCCAGCACCCACATGGCAGCTAACAACTGTCCGTAACTCCAGTTCCAGGGGATCCAACAGCCTCTTCTGTCCTCCAAGGGCACTGCACGACACGGGTGCACTTACCGACATGCAGGCAATACACACATATAAAAATAATAAATAAAATATTTTAAAACACATTAATAGGAGGTAGGTAGATCTCTGTGAGTTCGAGGCCAGCCTGGTCTACCTAGTGAGTTCTAGGCCAGCTGGGACTACAGGGAGACCCTGTCTCAAAATTACCAAAAAAAAAATTTGCATTTTTATTTTTCATTTATGTATTTACTTTTTTTTCATACTGTGGGGTCAATCTTAAGACTTGTACATGCTACGCAAATGCTATAGCAGTCAGCTATACCTCTAGCCCCTGAACCATTTGTTTGTTTTTGAGACTGGATCTCACGTAGCCCAGGTTGGTCTCAAACTCACTATACAGGCAAAAATGACCTTGAACTTTTGATCCTCCCATCTCTACCTCCCCAGTAATGGTATTCCAGAATATGCTGCCGTACCTGGGCAACTTGCCTGAGGTCACTTGCTGGGTAGGTACAGGGCTCGAGCGGTCCCCAACGTCTCTGACCAGGGCTGAGCAGGGCTCCCCTGCAGCAGGTCTCCTACAGGGCTGGGTGAAGGCAGCCTAGGAGCCAACTGCTGTAGCTGAACTGTGCTTTGTCAATGTCTGGCTTTAGCTGATGCTCAAAGCCAGGGTCAGGATATTATCAGAGACAACTTACACTCAGTTGGGGAAGCTGAAGGATTGTGTTCCCTGTTGCCCTCACTACAAGGAAACTGAGAGGCAAAGACTTGTCTAAGGTCACAAAGGGGCCCAGTGACACACGACTCATCTGCACTGTCTTGTAGTCTGTTTCTAAATCCATATTGGTTTTGTTCATTTTGTTTTTGTTTCTTGGTTTTGTTTCGAGTCAGGGTCTCACTCTGTAGCTCTGGTTGGCCTGAAACTCATTATGTAGACCAGGTTGGCTTTGAACTCACAGAGATTCACCTGCTTCTGCCTCAGGAGTGCTGGGAGTAGTCATAACCTAGCCTCAATGAAAGATTAAAAAACCCCTCTCTTCTCTGGTCCTCTTCCAGAACAGGCCTCCAGCTCTGACCCTCTGGCCTCTTAGATGATGACCATGACTGGAAATAACCAGAGAGGCCTAAGAACATTCACTGTGGTGTGAGATTCTAAGCCACTGTGGTCTTTGAAGCTTTGACTCATTTTCCTTGTGCTCAGAAGTTGTATTTGACTTTTCCATATTTAAACCCCTCCTCTGGAATTGGTATGCTACCTTGCATCTTACTACATACATGCCTCTGGGCTTCTAGGATGCCCTGTAGGCCATGGGTTGGTGGCAAGAGGCTTGGTGACCCCAGACTGAGTCTCAGAAGGGTAACAGTGCCGAGATACCTGCACCTCCCTGGCCTTGCCCTCCTCTCTTAACTCTCTCTCCTTTTAGGGTCAAGCAGAGTCTACAGATGATCTGAGGGTCTTCTGGCCTCTGCATGGAAAGAAGCCACAAGAGTTCTGAGTTTGTGTGTGTGTAGCATGGCTCTCAAGCCAGGCCCACATGGAAGGGGAGGAGCTCTCCCTGACCATGGAAAGTAGGTGGCTCCAGACACCCCTGGATGGAATTCCATGTGATCTTAGTGTGCATGTGTATGTATGCCCGTGTAGTGTGTGCGTGTGTGTGTGTGTGTGTGTGTGTGTGTGTGTAAGACATCAACCTCAAATACTTCAGGAGTCTTGTGTTTTGAAACGAGGTCTGTCACTGGCTTGGGATTTGGCTATTAGGCTAGGCTGGCTGGCCTCCACCTACCTCCACTTTCCCAGCACTGAGAATATAAGTGCGAGAGCACCACCAAAGCCAACCTTTTCATGTGGGCTCTAGGAATCAAACTCATGTCCTCAGACTTGCAAGGCAAAGATTTACTAACCAAGCTATCTTCCCAGGCCCCATATGGTCTCCTGTGCCTCAACTATGAGAACCTACCAGAAAAACAAAGCAGATGTTGTCAGGGATGTGGGAGTTTCTCTGGGCACCTCACATAGTGACCCCTAGGAGCTGTGGCTAGCATTTCTGGGGGACCAGGCCTCAGAAGAGAGAGGGGATGTGCTCATGCTTGTTCTGCTTGGCTGGGGCCTGGAGGACAGGCTTTCCAACCCCCTCAGATAGTCACCACAAAATGTGCTTGATCAACAGCTGTCTTCAATCATTTTCTTGAGAGCAGCCAAGTCTGGTCATTGGCTTTTCCCTTCTTGGTGGTGGACTTAGGACATGGTGAAAGATTTTTGTTTAAGGTTTGGGTATGTCCAGAGGTGGAGGCATTTAACAATCCAAAGTCTTTTTTAGCATCTGTCATGTGCATGGAGTCCTGCAGAGCCCTATTCTGGAGTGAGCGAGAAGCACGTGTGACTTGATGCTGCCTGTGGGTGCTGCGTTAAGAAATGTTTCTAGGGGGCTGGAGAGATGGCTCAGTGGTTAAGAGCACACTGGCTGCTCTTGTAGAGGACATGGGTTTGATTCTTGGCACTGGTATAGTGGCTAACAACCGCCAGTAACTCAAGTTCCAGGGGAATTCAACGCCCTCTTCTGACCATCACAGGCATTTCAGGACATCGGTGCACTTACACACATGCAGGCAATATATTCACACACATATGAAAAAACATAAATAAGCCAGGTATGGTGGCACACCCCTTTAATCCCAGCACCTGGGAGGCAGAAGCAGGCAGATCTCTGTGAGTTCAAGGCCAGCCTGGTCTACATAGTGAGTTCCAGGCCAACTGGGACTACAGGGAGACCCTGTCTCAAAAGGACCAAAAAATAAAAATAAGTCAGGTGTGATGGCGTATGCCTTTTGCTGTCTTTGAGGCTGGCTGTTTCTAGCTCTCTTGGGTAAAAAAATGGAAAAGTTTTCTAGGTTTTCATCTCCTGTTACTTTTGTTTGCTGTGAGGCTTTTTTTTTCTTTAAAGACAGGGTCTCAGGCTGGAGGGATGGCTCAGTGGTTAGGCGCACTGGCTGCTCTTGTAGAGGACTTGGTTCAGTTCCCAGGACTCACAAGGTGGCTGACAAACATCGGTAACTCCAGTTCCAAGGGATCCAATGTCCTCTTCTGGCCTCTGTGGGCATTGCACAGGTGCACCCACCGAGATGATGAGGACAGAAATGATGATAAGGTCAAGGCAGAGAGAGGGTTCATGTCCTGAGGCCTCCACGTCTATACAGCTCAGGCCGAATGACTCAGTGGGTACGGCCCCAGTTGTGGTTTCTCAAGGCTAAGACTCCATCCACATCTCGTGGATGTGTAGCAGTGTTCTGAGAGTCTTACCTCTGATGCCACCTCCTTGACCTCCTCTTGCCCCTCTCCCTGCAGATGATCCCTCCTGACCAGGAACTGCTGGTGTGGTATGGAAACTCCCACAACACCTTCTTGGGCATCCCCGGTGTGCCAGGGCTGGAGGAGGAGCAGAAGAAAAACAAACATGGTAGGTATTCCACATGGGGTTCACAGTGACAACCATTCACGGAGGGGAGAGCCGAGGACAGGGGAAGGTAGGGAGCCTCCAAGGACGCCTGCTTCAACCTCCAGCAGCATCAAAGAAATGAGACTTACTGATCAAATGAGGACGATGTCCCCAGAGCAACCTGCATGGTCTGAGCATGGGTAGAAGGCAGTCCTGTTACCTTGACACGATAGGCTGTGTGCAGACAGATGGGAAAATCCCTGAAAGGCAACAGGCTGTAGGAGGAGAGCTGGGCCGGGCAGCAGGAACCTGTATTGATTTCTAGATCTGCTGTGTGATCAAGGTTTCCTCATCTATAAACAAAAGGTATTGGGTGAGGTGATCTTTAAGTCCTTTCTAGCTCTGCAAACTTCCTGGAGCAGGGTCCAGCACAGAACAGTTGCTCAGTATAAGGCCTCTGAATGGAGGTAGGGCAGAGCAAGTCTGTGTGTCCTGGGACACAGCCCATCACAGTAGAAATCCCTGGCTCAAGACCCATGGTCTGCTGAGCACTAAGCTAATTGGTTCCTGGGAGTAAAAAATGAAAGCCTTTTAGTGAGTATAACTCTCCCTGGGCCTGACAAAACCCTTGTGAAATTTGATTTTTTTTTTGAGGCAGGGTCTCGTGTTCCCTAGGCTGGCCTCAAACTCATTATGTAGCCAAGAATAACCTTGAACTTCTAAGTCTCCTGTCTCCACCGCAAGTGTTGGGACTACAACAGGAGTGCATCATTATGGCCTCCCCCCCCCCGTTTTTTGGTCTTTTTGAGACAGGGTCTCCCTGTAGCCCCAGCTGGACTGGAACTCACTATGTAGACCAGGCTGGCCTTGAACTCACAGAGATCCGCCTGCCTCTGCCTCCCGAGTGCTGGGATTAAAGGTGTGCACCACCACACCTGCCTGACTGCCTCTGCCTCCCGAGTGCTGGGATTAAAGGTGTACACCACCACACCTGCCTGACCCCCCCCCACTTTAAATTTATTATTTTTAGAGGACTAGCCTCAGGCTTGTGAGCTTGTGTTTATAGAACCCTCACCCTGTGGCTCGTGGTTTAGTGGTTTACCGACACTGATTTCTCTGAATATCATTGTTGCCTCCATTTGGGGACAAGAAAACAAGAGACAGGAGGTCCAGGTTCAATGGGCACTCAGAGGCTATCTGGGAGATGAATAAATTTGTTTAAAGAGATCACAGTGGCTATCCTTTACTAATGGCCTTCTGATGAGGCAGACAGTTCTCATATTTGAACTAAGGTAAAGCACTTAGCACCGAGAAAATTTCCAGAGATATCAGTTTTTCTGATGATCTTGCAAAATCTTGCTAGTTCTTAGATGTGGTACTGGCTCCCTCCTCCTTTTATTATTTATTTACTTATTTTACATTTGATTTTGTGTGTGTTTGGACATGTGAAGGCCAGAAGACAACTAGTGGGCGTCAGTTCTTGCCATCCTACCACGTGGGTCAGGGACTCAGGTCATCAGGCTAGATGGCAAGCACCCTTACCTGCTATCTTGTCTGCTGTAGGCTCCCATATTTTTCTTTTAAAAGATTTACTTTTTTCTTTTCGGTCTTTTTTGAGATAAGGTTTCCCTGTAGCCCCGGCTGGCCTGGAACTCACTATGTAGACCAGGCTGGCCTTGAACTAACAGAATTCCGCCTGTCTCTGCCTCCCGCGTGCTGGGACTAAAGGCATGCATCACCATGCCCAGCAAGATTTACTTATTTTTATTCTATGTGTATGAGTGCCTGCACGTATGTATGTGCACCTCCTGTGTGCCTGGTACCTGAAGAGGCCAGAAGAGGGCGTCAGATCCCCTGAAACTGGTGTTATGGGTGGTTATGAGCCAGCAGTGGATGCTAGGAATCCAACCAAGTCCTCTAAAGAACAGCCAGTGCTCTTAACTCACGGGCTCTAGGCTCCCATTTTTCAGATGAGAAAGCTGGGATTTACTGGGGCCGTGTCGCCAAGTCCTCTTAGGTCGAGGACGATCTGAACTCTAAACGCTTTTTGAGTCCAGCCAGGCCCTTGGTGCCCCGGGGGTGGCTGCTGCAGGGGAGCGCGTGGGTCCAGGCGCAGCGGTCCTCGGTGTGGGTGCTAACCGGGCTGCTCTGTCTCCTCTCCCGCCCGCGCCGTGGGCCCCGCGCTCTGCCCACGCGGCCAGAGGACTTCCACCCCGCGGACTCGACGGCGGGCACGGCCGGCCGCATGCGCTGCGTCATCTGCCACCGGGGCTTCAACTCGCGCAGCAACCTGCGCTCGCACATGCGCATCCACACTCTGGACAAGCCCTTCGTGTGCCGCTTCTGCAACCGCCGCTTTAGCCAATCGTCCACGCTGCGCAACCACGTGCGCCTGCACACGGGCGAGCGCCCCTACAAGTGCCAGGTGTGCCAGAGCGCCTACTCGCAGCTGGCCGGCCTGCGCGCGCACCAGAAGAGCGCGCGCCACCGGCCGCCCAGCGCCGCACTGCTGCCCGCTCCCGCCGCCGCCGCCGCCGCAGCCGCCGCCGCGCACCACCTGCCCGCCATGGTGCTGTGAGACCCCGCGCGCCCCCACGCCTGCCTTGCGGACCGGCCCTCCGCGCCGCGCGCGCCCCAGAACCGCCCCCCTGGAACCCGCTACCGCTCCGTCTCGCAGATGAGTGCGTCGAGAGGCGACGTCCCCTTTTCCCAGGCCACCCGGCTGGCGTGGCTGCCCCGTCGCCTCGTCCTGGCAGTGGTCCCCATCTCGGAGTCCTCACGAGATATCTCCCTCGTGGATGGCAGGAGAAGACACAGAAGGTTCCCGAGGGCCCTCCGCGGGCCCCAAGCAAAAATGGAGGGACAGTCACCTCCTTGGCCGGAGGTGGGCCCAGGGCGGGCGGTACCCATCTCTGTCTCCTGGGAACGGTGTCCTGATGTGTCCGGGGACAGGGAATGACCTTGAGCGTTGAGAGCGAGTGGGACCAAAAGGCAGTCAGCAAAGACCCGAGAGATCTGCGAGTTCTGGGCCCTGCTTTCCTTTAGGCCACCTTTCCCCAGCACCTGGCTCTCGGGGAAGGACGAGGCGAACACTGTGTAGTGTGCCAGGCAGGCTGAGAGGGGAGGCACGAGGGAAATGCACCATCGGGCCCCTGGGGTAAGACCCTGTCCCCATCTGTAGAACACAGGAGTTAGTGCCCCCTCTCCTGCTCGGACTTCGTGCTTAGGAACAGAGAGGTACCCTCACGTCTACCCTTACCACGTACACTCCAACCAGAAAAGGACAAGACAGGGCTGTCCGGAGCCCAGGGTGGCTTCTGTGCGGATCCGGATCTGCATGTTGGTACTGCCGCGTGCCCCTACCCCCGCCTTTCCCTGCTCCGATCGTGGGCGCCCTCTGGTGTCCTCTCAAGCCTTGCAGTCATTTACCGGAATCCCCCCCCCCCAGGGTGTTTGTAAAATAAACTATAATAATATGAATTGAAAAGTATAAAATGTAAAGAGTTTTCAAGAAACTGTGTTCTACTCCCAGAAAATGGTCACTTTAACTTTGTAAATGTTTATCTAAAATGATATTTACAAAACTGTGATATATATTATTTGATTGTATATGTACAACTGTAAATACATTTGTATCGCTCTTGTATTCTAAAATAAAAATTACTTGGAACATTTATCGTTTGGCATCAGATGTGCACCATTGTATGGGACACATGGGAACTTGGAAAAGAAGGGAAGGAGCTGGAAGGATTGTTCCACTGACTGCTGCTAACAGTCACCACTGTGTCTTCTGCAAGGGAGTTGTGTCAGGACTGGGGTTTGGGGTCAGATCCCAAAGGGAAGTGCACGGTACACGGAGTGCTGAACTCTTGGAAAAGCCACTTAAATTTCTCTTAGTTTATCTGACTGCAGTATCGGTGCCTTCCTGTATTACTGTTATTTATGAGTTTTCATGTTCATGGCCAACCTGGAGGGGCTCGAGGAGACACAGGGGGTGGGCCAAGAGGATCAGCAAGTATCCTAGCATTTCTCAGTGCCCTGTGTACCCACTCCCAGACCCATTCCCTGACTCGGTTTCTTTCTCGTTGCTCTGACAACATTGACAAAAGCAACTTAAGGAGAAAAGAGTTAGTTTAGCTCACGGCTCAAGGTGCAGTCCACTACACATGGATAGCAAGGCGGCTGGAGCTTGACACCACTGCTCACGTCACATCCACAGTCAGGAGGCCGAGAGAGGAGAACGCCGTTGCTGCTGCTCAGCTCCCGCTCTCCTCTCCATGTACACAGCCCAGGAGCCCAGCCAGGGAACCGTGCCACTCACAGTGCACAGGTCTTTCCACCACCTCAATGTAATCAAGAGAATCCCCCCGAGGCATGCCCAAGGCCATCTCCCAGGTGATTCTAGAACCCCCCAAGTTGACACCACTAACCACATCTAAAGAAGACCAAGGAGGGACTGGAGAGGTGGCTCAGTGGTTAAGAGCACTTGCTATTCTTCCAGAGGACCTGTGGTTCTGTTCCCAGCACCCACATGACAGCTAACACAGCTAACAACCATCTGTAACTCCAGTTCCAGAGGATCCAGCACTTTCTTCTGGCCTTTGGGTGTACTCATATACATTCAGGTAAAACACCCATGCACATAAAATAAAAATAAATAAAAAATATTTTTTAAAGATGACTAGGAGCTGGAGAGATAGCTCAGCAGTTAAAAGCACTGGCTGCTCTTGCAGAGGACCTAGGTTCAATTCCCAGTACTCACATGGTAGCTAACAACCTTCCATAACTCCAGTTCCAGGGGGTCTGATGCCCTCTTTGACCTCCTTGGGCATTGCACAACCCGGGTGTAACTACATACATGCAGACAATACACTCATACTCATAAAATAAAAATAAAGTAAAAAAAAAAAAAAGAAAAGAAAAAGAAAAAGACCAAGGAGTAGGAAGGCCATCAAGGCAAGGCCAGGGGCTTCATGGGCCAAAGAAGTTCAGGCCTGGCTGTCCTCTCCAAGATTTTCTGGCCAATAAGAGCTGTGTGGGCTGGGGAGTGTGAGTTCACACCTGCGCTCCAGTGTATGTCAGCTGTGAGGAAACCATCCTTCTGACTCATCAGATGGGCATGCTTGGCACCCACGGACACACCTCTCTGTGCATCCTCACTTGTGTGCACACATGCAGATTTGCAGGCACTCAGGAATTCGCACTTGCTCATGGAGCCCATCTCTCTTCGGAAGTTCGGATGTGCACGCCCAAAGACCTTTATACTTTGGGGGATTTGTCCTGTGCTGAGGAAGATGAACCACTGGCCCAGAGGCCCGGCTGACAGCTTGCAGGTCTCATGGGTTTTTTTGTCCAAGCCTCCTCCTTTCCAAACTTCTCCCCCCTTCCATGCATAGCCATTTGGCTTCCAAGGCCTCGGGTAATCTTTGAATTTCCCTCTTCCCACTGAATCCCCCACCCAGGTTGCTAGTTCCCTTGACCAAACCTTGTCTGTCCTTTTCTGTCCCTTCCCACTAGAGGCCTATAGGTGAGGTGAGATTAAATATTCTCATGTTGAGTCGCCCACAAATAATGATGGCTTTTTGAATATAGTCCTGCAGGGGCCAGACTTCAGAGAAATCAGTAGGGTCTTAAACAAAAAGCTAATTTGTTCTCCATAGGTAATTCTGTTCTGAGGGTTTTCTGAGAGATCTTAGGGGCCTCACTGGGGCTCCAGAACCCACCTGGTGGCATGGTGCTGCAATTGCAGATGCCTCCAGCCTGATTTTGCAGAAGTGTGCTAGGGCATAGGCCTTGGGATGTAAAGCTAAACTATGTTCCTGAGGAGTTTTGCACAGCCGGTGGAGGCCTGCATTGAAAAACTTCACCTTTTATTCCTGTACCCCTAGTAGGAGCCTCGAGCCCCTCTTCCAAGAACACAGTCCCCCAAATGAAGACACGCAAATTTTGAGGCAATTTCTGTGAACCAGTCCTGTGCTTAGGGACTTAACACATAAATTCTGGGAATGTTTCCCACACACCCAGGAGCTGAGGCTCCCTCCTTCTTTTCTCCTAATGCTTTTTTTGCTTGATTCTATTTAAAGTAGGGGGCACAGAGGTAGTAAGTCATTTGCCCATGTCATTGAACCCTCAAGTAAGAAAACAGGGTGTCACCTCAGATGCCTGACCCTAAAGGGCACGCTCATGACCATCAGGCTACAACACCTCCTGGTCAACTTGGAGATTCAGTCCAAAGAGCTTTCCTCACATCCCACAAGCCCACAGTGTGTATTGGCCTTGTATTGATCTTGACCTCTTTTTGTTTATTTTGGCTGGTGCTGTTGTTATCATCCCCCCAAGGTGTAGTCCCCAGAAGACATCATTTACCCCTCTCCCTACCCCTAACCCTTTCCTCTATCTTCTACCCTCAGATCTCTTGAACTAGAGGAGCGAATCCCTGAGGATGCCTTACAGCTAGCCTGCTGTTGACCTCTGCCTCCAGAGAGTTGGGATTAAATATTTTCTGGGTTTTTTTCTTTAATTACTTTTATTTTATGAGTGTATTGTCTGCAGGTGTGTAAGTGCACCTGTGTCAGAAGAGGGCGTTGGATCCCCTTGAACTAGAGTTACAGATGGTTGTTAGCCACCATGTGGGTGTTAGGAATCAACCCTGGGTCCTCTGAAAGAGCAGCCAATGCTCTTAATCATTGCGCCATCTCTCCAGTCCTCTTTTCTTGTCTTTAATACAGGATCTCACTATGTAGCCCAGGCTAGCCTCCAATTCAAAGCAATCCTTCTACCTCAACCTCCTAAATACAGGGACGATTGTGATTTGCTACCATGCCTGCCAAGTTCTTTCTGGTGGAACCAAGCTTTGAAGTCAGGTAGATCTGTTTTTCCTTTGTAGTTCTAGGACTGAATCTAGGGCTTCATGAGCGCTAGGATTTGTTTTATTTACTTTCACACTGAGCTATATCTCCAGACTTGTTTTTTTTTTTTTTTTTTTTTCTTTCTTAGGATCCAGTAACAGAGGATTCTAGATAGAGGGCAATGGCCTGGCTTTGAAATCCACACATCCATTTATTAGCTGTGCGATCTCGGAAATGGATTATCATCTCTGTGTCTCAGGCCCCTCGCATGGAACACGAGGTGATACTTAGCTCTAAGGATATCACAAGGTTACAGATATAAACAGACATAGTCCCGGGCTCTGTGCCTGGCTCGTGGATAACTGATCAATAAATCACAGAATGTCTACGGAGGGTGCAAAGGGCTATAGCTGTCGGTACCACCTACCCTGCCTAGGTGCAGTCCCCAGAGGGCATCATTTACCCCTCTCCCCAACCCTTTCCTATACTCTCTACCCTCAGATCTCTTGACCTAGAGTAGACACCCTGACTGTGCCTTGGAGCTGCCTGCTGGGGCATGTGCCTGTGGGTGGGTGGAGGAAGATATGGGCAGTGGCTGACAAGTTGCCATGCCTGGCTGCTTCCTCACACCACAGCCATCTCCGAGGAGTCGGGCTTCTTCCATGTCAGTTCAGAGCTTTGGAACAAGGGTTCCAAGAGCGAATGTGGAATCTGTATGGACTGCCCTGAT